GGTGGGCGTGGTGGCTCACACCTGTAATTCCAACAGTTTGGGAGGCCGAGGTGGGTGAATCACCTCAGGTTAGGAGTTCAAGACCAGCTTGACCAACGTGGTGAAACCCCATCTCTACTAAAAATACAAAAATTAGGCGGGTGTGGTGATGCACGCCTGTCATCCCAGCTACTTCGCAGGCTGAGGCAGGAGAATTGCTTGAACCTGGGAGGCAGAGGTTGCAGTGAGCCGAGATGGTGCCATTGCACCCCAGCCTGGGCAATAAGAGTGAAACTCCGTTTCAAAAAAAATAATTAAAATATGAATGAATAAATAAACATCAGTTCAATTTGAGATATCTGAGAAAACAAGCCAGAGACTGGAAATTTACTATATGATCTGAGGCTAAGAAGAGATATCAAGAAGTCATCAGGCTGGGCATGGTGGCTCACACCAGTAATCCCTGCACTTTGGGAGGCAGAGGCAGGTGGATCACCTGAGGTCAGGAATTCAAGGACAGCTTGTCCAGCATGGTGAAACCTAGTCTGTACTAAATATACAAAAATTAGCTGGGTGTGATGGTGGGCTCCTGTAATCTCAGCTACTCGGGAGGCTGAGGCAGAAAAATCACTTGAACCTAGGAGGCAAAGGCTATAGTGAGCTGAGATCACGCTATTGCACTCCAGCCTGTGTGACAAGTGAAATTCCAACTCAAAAAAAAAGAGAAGTCATCAGCACCAGGCACAGTGGCTCCCACCTGTAATCCCAGTTACTCAGGAGGCTGAGGTGGGAGGATCACTTGAGGCCAGAAGTTTGAGACCAGTCTAGGCAATATAGTGAGACCCTGTCTCTAAAAAAAAAAAAAAATAAACGTAAATAAGTAAATAAAAGAAGTCATCAGCATATAGAAAGGATTTGAAGCCTTGGGCATGAATGTACTTGCCATCTACTAAAAATGTAGGAGACCACATAGAATAAAATAAGGAAAAGCTCTAGGACTGAAGATTGAGGAATTCCAACATTTGAAGATTAGGGAAAGGAGGAGGAGGTACCAGCAGAGACAGACTGGAAACAAAATTGTAGGAGGGAAACCCAGAAATGTAGAGTTTTTGAAGCTAAGGGAAGAAGTGTCTTGAGGGAAATAATAGTCAACTGTGACACAGCCTGTCACAGGTCAACAAGAACTAAAATGTTTCCAGTGGATTTAACAACAAGCATAGGCCGGGCGAGGTGATTTACCCCTGTAATCCCAGCACTTTGGGAAGCTGAAGAAAGTTGGTCACTTGAGGCCAGGAGTTTGAGACCAGCCTGGCCAACATGGCGAAAACTCATCTCCACTAAAAATACCAAAGTTAGCTGGGTGTGGTGGTGGGGCCTATAATCCCAGCTACTTGAAAGGCAAGGCGGGAGAATCATTTGAACACAGGAGGCGGAGGCTGCAGTGAGCCGATCAAAACACTGCACTCAAGCGAGACTCCATCTCAAAAAACAAACAGGAATAATAATAATAAAAAAAAACAAAACAGGAAGGCACTTTAGTTTAAAGGAGTGGTAGGAGCAGAATCCAGTTTGAAATGGATTTAGGGATGACTAGGAAGTGACGGTGTAAAAACAAGCATTCAACAACTCGGTTTCCCTCATAAGTTATGATATATAGAGTCGTGCAATAGATCCCTCTGTTGAGATCTGTTGCATGCCTCTCTCCGAACACACACACATACAGGTCATTCTCAAACCTATAGGAATGTATGTGCCTCAATTCTTCAATTAAATTGGAAGATTCTAGAAAAAGAGATCATGCTATTACCTCTGAATTCCTCTCTACCTAGGATAATCTTGGGCTTACTTAGTAAATGCTTGCTGATTATAAATGGTAAAATAGCTTATTAAATATATCTATATATATGTATTTTAAGACAGAGTCTCCCTCTGTCTCCCAGGCTGGAGTGCAGTGGTGTTATCTCAGTTCACTGAAACCTCTACCCTCCAAGTTCAAGTGATTCTCATGCCTCAGCCTCCACAGTAGCTGGGATCACAGGCAAGAGCCACTACACATGGCTGATTTTCTTTTATTTTTAGTAGAGATCAAGTTTCACCATGTTGGCCAAGCTGGTCTTGAACTCCTGACCTCAAATTATCCCCCCACCTTGGCTTCCCAAAGTACTGGGATTACAGGTCTAAGTCCCCACACCTGGGGTAATTTTTGTATTTTTGATAGAGACAGGGTTTTGCCATGTTGGGCTAGTCTCAAACTCCTTACCTCAGGTGGTCTGCCTGCCTTGGCCTCCCAAAATGCTGGGATTACAGGAGTAAACCACCACTCTGGCTAATATCTTTACATTACTAAGCATGATAATAGGGAATGAAAATCTGCCCAGGCCATGCATGGTGGCTCACACCTATAATCCTAGCACTTTGGGAGGCTGAGGCGAGTGGAGCACCTGAAGTCAGGAGTTCGAGACCAGCCTGGCCAACATGGTGAAACCCCATCTTTACTAAAAGCACAAAAATTAGCGGGCGTGGTGGCCAACGCCTATAATCCCAGCTCCTCGGGAGGCTGAGGCAGGAGAATCACTTGAACTCGGGAGATGGAGGGTGCAATGAGCCGAGATCATGCCACTGGACTCCAGCCTGGGAGACAGAGTGAGACTCCATCACAGAAAAATAAAAAGAAAGAAAAGAAACTCTGCACAGAGACCTGTTCATTTAATTAAGCAAACGTGTATAATATCTACTGTATGTCAGGCATTTTGGCAGGAACTAGGACTTACATTTTAATGGCAGAGAAATGTAGACATGTAAATAAATGATTAAAATTCTACAAATATTATGAAAGAAGAATGCTTCATGCTAATCTCACTGTGTACAAGAATGAATCCATTAGCAGAATACCTGTACATGTATATCGATGTCAACTTTTTAAAATGTCAGTAAAAATAAGAGGTAAACTAGTAAAAAATATTTTTTTGCTTTCCACAGTTTGAGTTTGAGTGCTATTAAATCAGATAATAAGGAACAAAAATTATAGATTGGTTGTTTCTCCAATCTCTTGTTTATATATTTGAGATTATCAGTGCTCAAATAGTCTATTTCTGACCTAGATCTTGTTACTTAGGCTCAAGGGGAGGGAGTAACCCTCATTTACCTAAGGAACACAATGGCTCTGAGATAGAATTACAAAGACTCAACTGCGTGAATCCACCTCTCTTCTATTTAATGCTCTGGAAATTGCATAAAGAACTGAGACAATTGGGTAAATCACATATTTCTTAATTAATCTTTTTATATTGTAAAGAGAATAATTCAAAGCTCTGCTTCTCATTCCAAAAAGACTTGTACATGTTACTATAGTCCAATAGTATCTGATATATTTTATTATTAAAATTGTGGAAGTATTTTGAATGGGCTACTTATTAATCCTTATGCTTCCTCACGCCATTTAATTATTGAAGCATTCAAATATCTAATCCTCCTGTCTCTTTACTGAAATATACTTTTTTTTTTTTTTTTTTGCTAAAGAGATGGAGATAAGATGATGTTGAGGATTATTTTTTCCTGGGAAATATACAACAATTAGACAAAATGATGTTGCATTTTGGATATTTTTTCCAGAGAATATTACTGCAGCAAAATTGAACAAGTAAAGCAGAACTGTGGATGGCAGGCTAGAAAAATCTGTGGTCGCCATCGACACACCACAACCTGCAGCAGCTGTATTCTCAAGTCCCTCCCTCCCACGCCCTGCTCAGCCTGCCAGCCCAGCAGGAATGAATGGGCTCCGCAGAGTACTGTGTGAATAGTGCTGCAGACGCTGAAAATCTGTCACTAGAAACCAAAAGGAAAAATTATTTGTCAAAATACAAATGAAATTTCAACTTCTCTGGCCAAACTTATTTATTTACCTCTGAAATTTCATCACCAATATCTGGTGGTACGAAGTCCAGTGACTTATTCTGCATAGCTCATCATTGCTGAGAATGGAGCCTTTCTAAATAGCAAGAGAATGTTACTACAATTCATTTCCTAGGGGTGAAAGCAAAGCTTTTTGTCCCAAGGGGCAACAGAGCAACCACCAGAGTCTCTAGTTGAATAGCAAGGGTGTGAGGCTGGCTAGAATTCCCACAGTTAGAAGTCCACCTGCAGGAGGATATTTACCAAATTGACATAAGAACTACATAAAAAGGAAATGCAGTTATTGAGCTGACGTTTCACAGTTGTCTGTGGATGGAGGCAACATTGCAAAATGGTGTGCTTTTTACATTATGCTATTCTCTTCTTTTAAATTTGGTTTCTTGGTAATTATTATTTTGCTTGTTACTTTTCAGACAAAAGTACAGTGCATAAACATAACTGCACACATGTAGTACTAACTTGTGAACTCAATTATTTCTCCTTGTATTTTCCCAATTCTATATCAGGAAAGATGATGCATTCCAAGGACAATGTACCACACAAAATGTGTTACATAGACGTCTCATAAAGGAATACCTCTAGTAAACTATTATAACTACTCTACCTTCACTGGCGATTGTTTATTGCCATGTTAGAACTATGTGTTCGCTTCTTTATTTAGTATGGTTATTCTTTCCATCTTCCAGTTTTGTTTAGCTATTTGGGTGTGCGTGTGCCTGCAAAAGAAGGTCTGAAAATAAATTAGTTGAACCTGAGAAACCATTTTGAATGACTGTATTAATAAATACTTTTTAAAATTAAAAAAAAATCACATTTACCCAAGCCATTTTGAGCAATCACGCCCATTTTCTCTCCCACTTTATTTTTACAGCAATTAGAGACGCTAAACCCTAACAGAATGTAGTCAAGTCTAACATACTACGAGGAGGGGCTGGCAGTAATTTTCCTCTAAATAGTGCATCTGAACACAAATTCCGTTATTAAGTGTAGAGGAAAAAACCCCTCACATAGACAATTTTAACCGTAGTTTGAGATTTAAGCAATATAAAGTCTTCCAAACCCAGTCCCCTTTCTTCTTCTTCCGCCCCTCCCCAACCCCACCCCATAATGGATGCTCGGCAGACTGCTTCTGCACGGTCTCTTTGTCTAAAGGATGCAAACAGTCTATGGATGCTAGAGAAAAAAGGGTGGGGGAGAGATTACCTCATCCCACGTCGCTTGCACCAATCACCAGTCTCCTGTCATGACTTCTCTGGGCAGATTGGGGGTCTGGACCAACAGGAAAAGGCCCCAGCCCATCCCCATGGTGACCGAGTTGTATATAGGGAGCCGCATCCGCCCATGTGCCGCAGGTTCTCTTACATCGACCGCCTAAGAGTCGCGCTGTAAGAAGCAACAACTTCTCCTCCTCGTCTCCGCCATCTGCTCGACAGCCGCGAAGCAGCAACCATGGTGAGAATCGGCTTCCGCTCTTTGAGGCCGTTGGGTGGAGTCAGCGCCCCCAGGGTCTACTTGGAAAACTTTTAAGCTCTTTTCTTTCGTAAGCTGTCTGGGCGAGGGTCGTCGTGTGCTTTAGCTTTGTCTGCCCCAAATCCTCAAGCCCCGCCGCCACCGCCGCAGTGCGGGTGCAGGATCCGGGCCAGGACTGCGCCCAGAGCGCAGCTGAGCGCTGGGGAGGTACAAAGGCGGCGCCTGGGCGCCTGTGTTGTCCAAGAGCCTTTCGGGGCTGAGGACAGCTCAGCCCGTCTGCCGCGACCGAGGGGTCTGGGGCGTCCCGGCTGGGCCCCGTGGCTGTGCGCCCGGTTTCGCTGCCGCGGAGGGGCCTCTTTCCATCTCGCGTCGCTCTCTGAGGACCGCGAGAGGAGGAGGCGCCCAAAAAGAGCTGGGACGGTGGGGGACCTGGGGGATGCGGGAGGGGGGACGGGAACAAAGCGCAGCCTGGGGTTAGCGTGGGAAGACCCCTCGCGGTCGTTGGCGTTTTTTTTTCCCGGGAAAACACGGTGAGTTTCTGCTGGAGCCCCCGGCAGCGGGTTTCAGGGCGGCGCAGGGGCGGGGTTGTTTGTTTCTGGCTTCTATGGCGTTGGAGCCACGGGGCGGGGTTCGCCCTCGCTGAACCTCCTCTGTCAGTAGCAGACTTTAAGAAAAGCCTTTCGTCATTGCGAAACTGTAGGATCCAAAAGGGTTTTCTTCACTATTATATGTTAGATGACTTTTTTTTTTTTGAGCAAAATCACAATTCACTTGACAAGCTCTTTAACGTCTGCCCTGACCGACTAGAGAGAGAGAGAAAGAGAGAGAGAGAGAGAGAGAGAGAGAGAGAGAGTGTGTGTGTGTGTGTGTGTGTGTGTGTGTGTGTGTGTGTGTGTGTCTGGGCTGCACGTTCAGCGAGAGAGATAGCGCACTTTATGAGCCCCCGGGGTACCCTGATAGTCAGGACCTAGGAAACGCCCTTCCCCGCCGATGGCCCCCACCACATCAGTGAATAGACAATGAAAGTGGTAGCCCTAAAGATCACGGAGGAAGAAAACCTCTATTGGATGCAAAGAATATGAATATTATGTGGTAGGTAGAGAATCTCAAGATGAAAATACTATTTTGTTGTTTTAAATAAATATTTCATTATCCTTCCACTGGGCTTTTATTCTTTGTTCGGTAGCTTATCATGTGATGCTTCTTTCTAACTTAGGAACCTTTTTGTATGTTTTTTTTTTTTTTTTTTTTTTTAAATTTCCAGTTATTTTTCACTTTTAACAGTGGAGAAGATCTGGAAAAACCTTTTTTTAAAAAAGAAAAGAAAAGTGATGAAATTGCTGCAGACAAAGAAGAATTATATTCCACATCCCGTTGTCTTTTGTTCTAGCGAATCTTCATTAATTCATTTCAATTCAGGCACATGGTCCCGGGCTGGGTCAGAGGAGGAAAACTGGCAAAACAGCACAATGAGATCATGTAGGCAGTTGCTGGAAATAGAGCTTGCTCTGTTAAATAATGTAGCAGACAGTACAGGCTAGCACCAGGCGCTGCAAATACAGCAATGCAGAAGGCAGACCTTGTCTAGCTTCTAAACCCCTGGTAGTGATGGATTCTGCAGACAGACTGCAGAAGGGTGTGGCTTCTTGCCTCAGCTGCAGTTCAGATGTCCCTGTTACAATATCAAGTCCTATTCAGAAGAAACGTTAATCTTTATTTAAAAGGGAAGAAAGCAGTAAAATTGATCCCAATTAAGTCATGGATTGGATTTACTTTATTTTACAAAATTTGTGCTTCGGATATGGAATACTTTTATTTTATTTTATTTATTTATTTTTTTTCTTAAAGGTGGGGTTTCACCATATTGGTCAGGCTGGTCTTGAACTCCAGACCTCAGGTGAGCCACCCGCCTTGGCCTCCCAAAGTGCTGGGATTACAGGCGTGAGCCACCGCGCCCAGCCTGGAATACTTTTTAAATATGAAAAGTCTTCTATTCAAGCGTGGTAGTAGGAACAATGGGCTGGTACCATGTGCTGAACAGGGCCAAGGTGACATCATTATTCAGACCACACCCATATGCAGCATTTGTAGCAGATGATTTTTCTTAATCTTTGTAGCATGCTGGGGATATGACCTCAAATGATTTTGAAAAATACCTGAATGTCATTAGAAATAGTTGTAGAAATTTACTCAAAGTTTGAAATGCTAATACAGCTTAATTTTATAATTTTTTTCACTTTTCCTTCCCACAGCGTGAGTGCATCTCCATCCACGTCGGCCAGGCTGGTGTCCAGATCGGCAATGCCTGCTGGGAGCTCTACTGTCTGGAACATGGCATCCAGCCTGATGGCCAGATGCCAAGTGACAAGACCATTGGGGGAGGCGATGACTCCTTCAATACCTTCTTCAGTGAGACGGGCGCTGGCAAGCACGTGCCCCGGGCAGTGTTTGTAGACCTGGAACCCACGGTCATTGGTGAGTTGGCCTCAGTAACCCAAGTGAGATCCCAGGGTGCTGGGACAGGAGGCCTGTCCTGGGGGCTCTGCTGGTCACTCGCTCACTCACCCAGTCCCTCTGTCTTTCTCTCCCTCCTTCTCCAGATGAAGTTCGCACTGGCACCTACCGCCAGCTCTTCCACCCGGAGCAGCTTATCACAGGCAAGGAAGATGCTGCCAATAACTATGCCCGAGGGCACTACACCATTGGCAAGGAGATCATTGACCTCGTGTTGGACCGAATTCGTAAACTGGTAAACACCATATATAAATATGCATTTAGAGTGCAGTGAGATAATTCCAGTGCAAGTTGGGTAGAGTGACTGACATTGTTCATTCCTTGGCACCTACCAAAATGTGGAATAGGCTGCTTGCTATATTAACTGGACTTATAAATCAGATGATCCCTAGGTTATGTGTATATGTCTGTTTTTCCAGTTCCTCATGCTTGCATCAATCTGTTCGGTTCATAATCTAAAGAAGTTTAAATAGATTTTCTAAGAGAAAGTCTCCTGGCATTAAAATATTTTTCTTTCCCCACAGGCCGACCAGTGCACTGGTCTCCAGGGCTTCTTGGTTTTCCACAGCTTTGGTGGGGGAACTGGTTCTGGGTTCACCTCCCTGCTCATGGAACGGCTCTCAGTTGATTATGGCAAGAAGTCCAAGCTGGAGTTCTCCATCTACCCGGCGCCCCAGGTTTCCACAGCTGTAGTTGAGCCCTACAACTCCATCCTCACCACCCACACCACCCTGGAGCACTCTGATTGTGCCTTCATGGTCGACAATGAGGCCATCTATGACATCTGTCGTAGAAACCTCGATATCGAGCGCCCAACCTACACTAACCTGAATAGATTAATAGGTCAAATTGTGTCCTCCATCACTGCTTCCCTGAGATTTGATGGAGCCCTGAATGTTGACCTGACAGAATTCCAGACCAACCTGGTGCCCTATCCCCGCATCCACTTCCCTCTGGCCACATATGCCCCTGTCATCTCTGCTGAGAAAGCCTACCATGAACAGCTTTCTGTAGCAGAGATCACCAATGCTTGCTTTGAGCCAGCCAACCAGATGGTGAAATGTGACCCTCGCCATGGTAAATACATGGCTTGCTGCCTGTTGTACCGTGGTGACGTGGTTCCCAAAGATGTCAATGCTGCCATCGCCACCATCAAGACCAAGCGTACCATCCAGTTTGTGGATTGGTGTCCCACTGGCTTCAAGGTTGGCATCAACTACCAGCCTCCCACTGTGGTGCCTGGTGGAGACCTGGCCAAGGTGCAGAGAGCTGTGTGCATGCTGAGCAACACCACAGCCATTGCTGAGGCCTGGGCTCGCCTGGACCACAAGTTTGACCTGATGTATGCCAAGCGTGCCTTTGTTCACTGGTACGTGGGTGAGGGGATGGAGGAAGGAGAGTTTTCTGAGGCCCGTGAGGACATGGCTGCCCTTGAGAAGGATTATGAGGAGGTTGGTGTGGATTCTGTTGAAGGAGAGGGTGAAGAAGAAGGAGAGGAATACTAAAGTTAAAATGTCACAAAGGTGCTGCTTTTACAGGGAAGCTTATTCTGTTTTAAACGTTGAAAAGTTGTGGTCTGATCAGTTAATTTGTATGTAGCAGTGTATGCTCTCATATACAATTACTGACCTATGCTCTAAAACATGAATGCTTTGTTACAGACCCAAGCTGTCCATTTCTTTGATGGGTTTCGAATAAAGTATTCCCTGTCTTAAATGAATTCAGTCCTGTGTTTTCTATCTGGGTGTCTGAAATTTGTTATGTATTCAGTGCATTGAGAATAAAGAATAAGTATTGCCTGTGGTTTATACATAGTAATTTAAAACTTTTATTTATAAAACATAAAATGCATATGTAAAGATTACCATTACAGAGCATCACATACTTTTTTTTTTTTTTTGTGAGATGGTGTCTTGCTTTGTTGCCCAGGCTGGAGTGCAGTGGCGCCATCTTGGCTCACTGCAACCTCGGCCTCCTGGGTTCAAGAGTTTCTCTGGAGTAGTTGGGATTACAGGTACCCACCACCATACCTGACTAATTTGTGTATTTTTAGTAGAGACGAGGTTTCACCATGTTGGCTGGGCTGGTCTCAAACTCTTGACTTCCCATGATCTGCTGGCCTCAGCCTCCCAAAGTGCTGGGACTATAGGCGTGAGCCACCTTGTCTGGCTCATACTATTCTTAAGTTTTTACCTCATTATTATAATAAAGTTACTTAACTTGCCAGTACTTTTTAGGAGTTGAAAGTTGGTAATGCACAGCCAGAATCTGGTTGACTGCCGAATCTCATGTAACTTAACATAAAATGGTGAATATTGCAAATGCATCACCTTTTCATGTGCCCTCAGCTCCTTGGCATGTGTCTAGTGCCATTATGCTTCCTCTGCCCAGGATTCCCAAAACAAATCTGCTCTCTGTGCAAGTGGCCTTATGCTAGACTTAGTTATTTACCTTCTTCCCAAATCTATTTCAAGCTAAATGTCATTTTGGAAAAGCCTAGTACATTATTCACTCTAATGTGTTAATTACATACTTGAATGTTAACTCTCCGGGTTAATATGGGCCAATAGCTTCAGAGGAAACCTTAATAGTGCAATTGTATGCATCAGCATAAACACAGAAAATGTTTTAGACTTAGGATTTGTCCAACAATAGAGCTGTGCCCCAGTCCAACTGACCAAAAGTCTATTCCCAAGCACAGTAAATCGTCTTCCTACTCTCACATTTTCTGGTTCTGGGATACATATTAGTTCGGTGCTATGAAGAAGCAACCGAGACTGGGTAATTCATAATGGAAAGTTTAATTGACTCACAGTCCCACATGGCTGGGGAGTCCTCAGGAACCTTACAATCATAGCAGAAAGGGAAGCAAACGTCCTTCACATGGTGGCAGAAGAGAAAAGAATGAGTGCTGAGCCAAGTAGAAAGTACCTTTTAAAACCATCAGATATATGAGAATTTACTATCACAAAGATAGCTTGGTGGAAACTGCCCCCATGATTCGATTGCCTCCCACTGGGTCCCTCCCACCACACGTGGGGATTATGGGAACTACAATTCAAGATGAGATTTGAGTGGGGACACCGCCAAACATATCAGGATAATACCCAATGGCAATGAAATGTCTTTTTTGGTATTAATGACCCATTTAATCTGTTTTTCCCTTGACACTGGCAACTATGGGGTATAATAGTATTGTAATTACTGAAATCTATGGTTCATGTAAGTTAATGGAAATAATGTAATATAAGAAATACATTGGGGCCAGGCGCCGTGGATCACACCTGAAATCCCAGCACTTTGGGAAACCGAGGCAGGTGGCTGACGAGGTCAGCAGATCGAGACCATCCTGGCCAACATGGTGAAACTCCATCTCTACTAAAATACAAAAAATTAGTGGGGCATGGTGGCAGGCACCTGTGGTCCCAGCTACTCAGGAGGCTGAGACAGAATTGCTTGAACCTGGGAGGTGGCGGATGTTGCAGTGAGCCAAGATTGTGTCACTGCACTCCAGCCTGGCAACAGACTGAGACTCCATCTCAAAAAGAAAAGAAAAGAAAAGAAAAGAAAAATAAATACATCAAGATGGGCCGGGCACGGTGGCTCACACCTGTAATCCCAGCACTTTCGTAGGTCGAGGTGGACAGATCACTTGAGGTCAGGAGTTTGAGACCAGCCTGACCAACACAGCGAAATCCCATCTCTAAAAAATACAAAATTAGCTAGGTGTGGTGGCAGACACCTGTAATTCCAGCTACTCAAGAGGTTGAAGCAAGGAGAATTGCTTGAGCCTGAGAGGCGGAGGTCGCAGTGAGCTGAGATTTTGCCACAGCACTCCAGCTTGGGCAACAGAGCGACACTCTGTCTCAAAAAAAAAAAAAAAAAAAAAAGGATGACATCAAGATAAACTAATCTCAAAGCCAAGCCAATCCAATATTGTGCTCGTCAGTTTTAACTACAAGCCAACACAAAAAGTAAAAAGCCTCACTAATTCACATAAAAACAATATGGAAACTAGATGAAATGTAGATTTTGATGTGCATTCCCAGCACCTAACAAAGTATAAGGAAGATGGTGGGTGTACAGTGATTGTTGGTTACATGAGCCAAATGTAGGATAAAAGAGATACAGGTATACAACCAAATAAGTTCAATAGAAGCCCTATGATCTTTTGATTCTAAATTACAAAATGGAAAAAAAAACCCAGATTTTCTAACTTTGTCCACTAAAAAGGCCTAGGACCAATGTAGTAATGAATACTCCCTAGCCCCCAGATAGTGGTGTCTCTATGCCATTTCCCACTTAAAGGAACTAGAATGTTTTAGAGAAATTTTGGTTTCAAGCTTGATGCAGGAAATATACAAGTTCTGCCTCAAATATTTTGTCATTCCAGAAAGCAAGGAAGATATCAGACTATTACAGTCATATCAGAAGGATATAGGAGCCAACATGAAGGGGCTCTCACTAATGACACAACATGAGCACTGAAAACAGTAATGACTGCAACAAATTGAAAATATAAAATATGCACCAGGCAAGGTGGCTCACACCTGTAATCCCAGCACTTTGGGAGGCTGAGGCAGGCAGATCTCTTGAGCTCAGGAGTTCAAGACCAGCCTGGGCAACATAGGGAAGCTCCATCTCAATTAAAAAAATAATTTTTTAAAAAAGAAAATGTAAAATATGTGAGTATGGTGGCATGTCGTTGTGGTCCTAGCTACTTATGTGGCTGAGGTGGGAGGATCAAGAGTTCAAAGCCCAGCCTGGGCAAAATATTGAGACTTCATCTTCCCCTTCAAAGAAATGCACTATGGCAGTTCCTCAAAAAATAAAACATAGAATGACCACATGATCCAGCAATTCTCTATGTATATACCCCAAAGAACTGAAAGCAAAGACACAAGCGGGTATTTGTATACCCATGTTCATAGTAGCACTATTCATAATAGCTAAAAAGTGGAAGGCCAGGCGCGGTGGCTCACGCCTGTAATCCCAGCACTTTGGGAGGCCGAGGCGGATGGATCATGAGGTCAAGAGATCAAGACCATCCTGGCCAACATGGTGAAACCCCGTATCTGAAAAAAAAAAAAAAAAAAAAAAAATAAGAAAGAAAAAAAAGTGGAAACAGCCCTATCAATGGACAAATGAATAAACCAAATGTGGTGTATATACACAATGAAATATTATTTTGCTTTAAAAAAATAAATCCTGACACATGTACAACATAAATGAACCTTGGAAACATTACACTAAGTGAAATGAGCCAGAAACAAAAGGATAAATACTGTGTGATTCCACTTATATGAGGTACCTAGAGTCAAATTCATAGACAAAAAGTAGAATAGTGATTACCAGAGGCTAGAAGGAAGGAGGTAATAGAGAGTTAGTTGTTGTTGTTTGAGGAGATGGAGTCTCGCTTTGTCACCCAGGCTGGAGTGCCGTGGCATGAACACCTCCCGGGTTCAAGCAATTCTCCTGCCTCAGCCTCCTGAGTAGCTGGGACTACAGGCATGTGCCACCACGCCCAACTAATTTTTGTATTTTTAGTAGAGATGGAGTTTCACCATGTTGGCCAGGATGGTCTCAATCTCCTGACCTCGTGATCTGCCTGCCTCAGCCTCCCGAAGTGCTGGGATTACAGGGGTGAGCCACCGGGCCTGGCCTAATTTTTGTATTTTTCACTAGAGATGAGGTTTCACCATGTTGGACAGGCTGGTCTCAAACTCCTGACCTCAGGTGATCCGTCAACCTTGACTTCCAAAGTGCTGGGATTACAGGCGTGAGCCACAATACTCAGCAGATAACTATTGTTTAATGGATACAGAGTTTTAGTTTGGGATAATGGAAAAGTTCTGGAGATCGCTAATAGTGATGCTTGCACAATACAAATGTACTTTATGCTACTACTGAATTGTACACTTAAAAATTGCTGGCTGGGCGTGGTGGCTCATGCTTGTAATCCCAGCACTTTGGGAGGCCGAGACGGGTGGATCGCCTGAGGTCGGGAGTTCGAGGCCAGCCTGACCAACATGGTGAAACCACATCTCAAAAAAAAAATTGCTGAAATGAGACAGGCGTGATGGTGCCAGACTGTAGTATCAGCTACTCCAGCAGGAAGATTGCATGAGTCTCACTTAAGACTAGGATTTTTGGCCAGACGCTGTGGCTCACGCCTGTAATCCTAGCACTTTGGGAGGCCAAGATGGGTGGATCACCTGAGGTCAGGAGTTCAAGACAAGCCTGGCCATCGTGAAAACCCACCAAAAAAAAAAAAAAAAAAAAAGGAAAAAAAGAAAAAGAAAAGAAAAGAAAAAAAAGACTAGGATTTTTTATGTTGTAATGTGCTTTAACTGTGTCTGTAAATAGCCACTGCACTCCAGCCTGGGCAACATAGTGAGATTCTGACCACCGACTCTAAAAAAAACTTATGTAAGCCAGGCGAGGTGGCTCATGCCTATAATCCCAACACTTTGGGAGGCTGAGGCAGGTGCAGATCACAAGGTCAGGACTTCAAGACCAACCTGGATAATATGGTGAAACCCCTGTCTCTACTAAAAAAAAATACAAACATTAGCTGGGCATGGTGATGGGCACCTGTAGTCCCAGCTAGTCAGGAGGCTGAGGCAGGAGGATTACTTGAAGCTGGGAGGCAGAGGTTGCAGAGAGCTGAAATCACGCCACTGCACTCCAGCCTGGGAAACAGAGTGAGACTCCTTCTCA